GTAGCATAACAAACATTGACACATCAGGTAGCATGTGGACTTCTGCTTCAGTGTGGACCATGGTATCACCTAGGCATTTGCTAGAAATGCTGGCCCCACCCAGGCCTACTGAGCTCCAATCTGCATTTAGACATGGATCCTAAGTGATTCTTAGGAATATCAGAGCTGAGTCCTCACCCTCAGTTTTTTTTCTTGTCAGTACTGATGATTGAACCCAGGACCTCACCTCACACATGCTGAGAGAGCACTTTCCACTTGAGCTATCTCCCCAGCCTGTGTGTATGTGTGTTTTGCTTCTAAGACAGGGCCCTGCTACCTTTGCCTGGGCTAACCTGGAACTTACCATCCTCCTGTCTCTGCCTCCTGAGTAGCTGGGATTACAGGAATACCCCCACCACACCTGGCTCACACTTTCAATTTTAAGACAGTGCTCACACAATGTTGAGAGAGTCATAAGATTAAACATGGTAGTCAAGACAGACCTCACTGAAAAGGGAGGCTTTAATGAAACCATGCAGGGAGTTAGACAGCCAAACATCCAAGTTAAGAGCTATTCCTAGGCAAAGGGACCAGCCAGAGACCAGACACATGTGCCTGGAGGGTTTCACAAACCTTCTCAGATGGCCAAAGTGGCTGGAGCAAAGTGGGAAAGGGTGAGGGATGGAGCAGTATGGTTAGATGCTGTCAGCCTCTAGGAACAGAGCAAGGACTTTGGCTTACACTTGAGTTGCACAGGAAAACTAGGGCAAGAGTTTTGTGTTCAAGTTTCAAGGTCACTCTGGCTTTTGCACAGAAAAGACTAAAGGGAGCCTAAGTAGAAGCAAGGAGGCCTTTTGAGGGGAGTGGGAAAGAGGTCTTATAATAATACAAATAAAAAACACTGATAGTTTAGACCTAGTTGGATACAGGGGAGGGGAAATGGTTTGATTCTGGGTGAATTTTCAAGGTAGATACATGACTTCTTGATCAGACACAGGGTGTAAGACATACAGAGAACTTCCAGACTTGTGGTCTAAGTGATGGAAAAGGAGTGTGGGAAGGCTGTGGGTGAACACATTTTTTGAGGGGATGTGATCAAAGGAACTTCTTCAGCAGGTCTATCAGACATCCAGGGATAGTGATTAGGTGACAGGAATGTGGGGTTCAGGAATAAGCTATGGGAAGATACAAATTTAGTAGCCCATGGTCAGGCATCCCACTCTAAAGTCACATCATAACAAGGCTCAATAACTGAACAGCTATTATGCTTGTCAGTCTGACTACACCAGAACCTGTGGTCAGACAGCACATTCCATGTGGAGGAACTGTAACATGACTCGTTCGGCTCATCCCTTCCAGGTAATCACTTGCAATTTCAGGTTCATTAAGTAGTTAATGTGCTTCAAATATTTTCTTAATTCTCAAATGTAAGTGCAAAACCAAAGGAAACTCATAAAAAACAAACTAGAAAACCTCTGGGGAAAAAAAAGGTAGTCATCTAAAATCTACCACAATTTTAAAAAAATTTCCACTGGAGAATGGATAAAATTACATTTCAACTTCAATCTAGGGAAGTTAGGACGGTACAGCTATATGCAGAGCAGCACGGCAGTTACAGTGAAGGCTGTTCCTCAGTGATTGAGGTAATCAATCATTCACTTCCTGTGTCTTATCTCATTTAATCCTCAATCCTGGAAGGTTGTATCCATTCCAGAGAGGATGAGACTGAGATCTACGAAGGGTCAACATGTGAGCTCACGAGTAAGCACCAAGTCAGCAATCTGCCTCCTAATCAAAGACAACTGCCTACATAATCCAAAGTGAAATGTGAAGAAGGGTTACTCATCTATTTTGTTTTCAAATAAAAGGCAGTGTTTCTTTTAGAAAATATTAAACTTTCCATAGTCAACATACCCTGGTAGAATGGATGCTGTAATGTCATCTCCTTCCTCCCCCTTTTGTTTTCCTTTTCTAATAATTTAGTCCTAGTCATGTCTCCTGATCCTCATTACAGGTCTGACTTTTCCTGCTGACTTCTAGGCAAGTTGGTAACTGACAATTGAATCAAGAAATGGGCAAATAATTTAGCATCAGTTATCTGTACCTTCAGGTTTTATCTGAAGTAGTGATTAGGTAGATAAGATAAAGTACTGTCAGCAATTTGTTCAAAATTTATTTCATATAATAAATTATACAATTCATTTTTATTTGAAAACAGTCTGCAACAAAAATATTTTGCACCATTTTTTCCTTCCGGTAAGACACACAGATTAGCAGACTGACGCCACCTTTTTACAGCTAAAACCCACAGTCACACTTAAAGTTAGACACAGCCTTTCTCCATGTTTCTCTGAACACTCATATTGACACCACTTGATAAGAACAAAACAGATTTTGCCCAAAGCTGAGTTTAAACCTCAGATACTAGGTGGGAAATTATAAAGATATATTTTTTTTTGTCTTTTCTTTTTTGGTGCTGGGATCGAACCCAGGGCCTCACGCATGCTAGGCAAGCGCCGTACCACCGAGCTACATCCCAGCCCTAAAGATATCTTGATTAGCCTTAAACTCATCATCTTCCACTGGAATAGCACAATGGGCAAACTGAAAGTAGAAAGTAAGGCACAAAGGGATGCAGCAGGTAAAAGGCCACGAGAGACACGGCACCCACACAGCGCGACAGACAAGAGTTTACAGGATATTTTTTTAAAACTGTTAACAGCATATTCAATTGGTTCTTATCAAGTTATTTACAGATTATGCAACTTTTGAAATGACCCAACTTCTGTGCAAAAAAAACTGGATTTTTTTAACTATAAAATAAGGTCTCATGAATATAAAACATGACAAGACCACATGAGGACTTAGATGAAATTAGAAAAGTGGAGATCTAAATCCAATTTTTTTTTTCTGAGATTGAACCCAGAGCTTGCACATAGCAAGCTGTTTCACCCAACTTTTATATGAATCAAGTATGTACGCACGTCAAACATTTCTGATAAAGCATCTGCCTAGGAAGCCTGAGGCCCTGAGTTCAAGCCCCAGCACTGCCAAAAACAAAAAAATTCTCTGAGTAGGGTATTAGTGAGATTCATCAGTGTTTTCTTACTACTGTTTCAATTGCTGGTTACTTGCCTCTATTAAGAACATAAGAATTTAACTCTCAGAATGAGGCACTAAATCAAGACTAAAGCAGTATCACCAGTAAGAAAAATGACATTTAAATTTTACTGAAATCTATGGTGCCATAGGAATAGTCTTAAAAATAAAAGCACACTCTGTAGCTCAGGCCTCAATGACCGTTCTTATTATGAGGTGGCTAAAGAAACAGAGCCAAAGCAGAATTAGGTGACGGGATGAGCTATTAGAAGTAAAAGTTAAGTTTAAACGTACCATTCCATACATTCTGTAACTTAATTCAATGAACACAAAAAGCTAAATAGAAAGATTTATAATTGAACACAGGAAGGCTGGTACCATAGACCGTTCCCTGATAAAGTGAGAATTCAACAGCAAAGGTCCTAAAAGCCAAATTGAGTTTTATTTAAAATACCTCTCCCTGCCGTGTGAATAGTAACATGTTATGAAGTGATCAAAGGAGTATTTTGTGTTGGTCAATTTCTTTTTTTAGACAGACTGCTATAGCCCCATGAAAACCAAATGCCAAAATTCTCCTACAGTATTACTGATGTGGGTAGTTAGATCACAAACTGGAAATAGATCCTCCACTGCCCCCCAGTACAGTTCAAAGATAACAAAGCCCAATCACAACTTGAAGTAGTATTATGTACACACTTTTAAATACTCTTATGTGGAAGCATGGGAAAACAAGGAAAATGACACTGGGGTGGGGGCAAAGGAAAGCCTGACTAGAGAGAGTTAAAATGTCTCTTCAAAAATGGAATTCTGGGACCTCAGGGTCACACTAGAAGCCAGTAGAAATGGAATTGGAATTTCAGAACCACTAGAAAGAGAAAAGGTTAATTATAAAAACTGTAGCTGATGTTATGCATCAGGAACAAATGTTATATCTATCATTCACATGTGAGTTCATGTAATTTATCTTCAATTAGAATTATTATCTATTCAGCAGCTGAAGCCCAAGAATTGCGATATGCGGCAGGTGAGGAAGCATTTGCTCATCTCTTGACTCCGGCCTTTCTTAAGTGAAATGACCACACAGTACAGGTTACTTGTTCTGGAAAACAATTCTGAATTGATGTAGAGTAAGCTGCACTGCCAGCATCTGGATCCCATGAACATTCTGCCTTAGATCCTAGGGTTCTGTGCACCTCTTCAGCTTTACTGGGTCTATACTTCAGTCCCAGATTCACACAGAAACAGCACACATTCTTTTAATTCAGGATTTACTCCTTTGAAACGAGTTACTGTAGCTACTAAAGAAATGTTTAAATGTCTGAACACCAAAGAGGTAATAAATTTAATTTTTTCCAAATATTTGTAAGTACTCTGTCTCAACCAAGTCTTTACTTGCACAGCCAGCAAGCCAGTGTCTAAGGAGTTGTAACTTATACATTAAGGGAGTGGACCTGTCCAAGTTCATGTTTACAAACTACCTAAGGTAATGCACGATATCACCAACATACCAAATCACGGAAAACAGGATCCAGAAGTCAGCACAGCATTTGCTGTTGTAGTGTATCCAAGGAAATGCTAATTACTTTTACTTTAAAAACTCCTCTTTGGATAAGGATATAGTCAAACTGAGTTAGTCTTTACAAAAGGAATTCTCTTAGAGTGTTTAATATAACCTAGGCAGGTTACAAAGGCATTTCAAAATGATCTGTCCAAGAGCCCTGTCCCTGATAAACATCTCTTAGCGTCAACAACACTCCACAGTGCACCTTTTGAGGCACAGCTCTGGCATGGTGGTGTATTCAGAGGCATCACTAACTCCTTGGGCTGAGACATTTCTTAAAATGCCTATTTCTTAAAATTAACAAAAATCATTGTTAAAGCAGTAAGTCTGGAATTTCAGACTCAAAATTGAACACCTGGGCACAAAGAATAATGCATCTGTTTATCATCCTACATCATTTTCACCACCTTAGCAAAAATATATTTAAAAAAAAAAACCAGGTTAGCCAATCCTGATAGTGTCTATGTGCAACACCTGAGCAAATAAACCCATACAGAAAGGCTGCATAAAGCAAAAACAGTAAGTGGAATACGGTTTTCACTCACCTAATGGAAAAATATACCAGTGCCATCTAAACAAGTTATAATAACATACCTAGAATCAGTGGTCCTGGTTATTGCTAAGATTCTCTACACAGAATAGTTTGATAACATTTACAGCTATCTTTCTTGAAGAATAGTCACAAGTTGCTGAATAGACAAGTTCTGAGAAGTGTGGGAATTAGCTGATTTTGTACTTGTGTGAACGGCATAGCATGTACTTAAACAAACCAAGATGTCACCACATAGGTGATGCAACCTGGGCCCACCGTATTACAAGCAGTCCACCACTGACAAAGCATCATAACACAGCACCCAACAGCAGTGAACAATTGGCTGCTGTGGTGAACCTCTCTTTCCTTGAGGAATTCATTTACATCAGAGCAGCGTCCCTCAACCTCAGCAGAACTGTTGCTCTGGGCTGCATAACGCTTGGGCTACAAGATGTTGAGCAGCACCCCTGGCTCTACCCATTAGCTGTCAACAGCAGTCTACCAGTTGGGGTAGCTGTTGCTTAGAAACAAGCAAATCAGCCCCATTTGAGAGCCACTGCTCTGAAGTCTAAATTAAAAGTTTATTACATGGCTCTGCTTCTTTGGGGAATGTCCCTTCTACAGGTACACTGAGACACCTGATCAAATATCCAGTTATAAGCAGCACTAGAGATCTTTCCAAATTCTGTGTGATGGGAAATGTGATTTATGAATGTTAAGAGAATGGTTAAGAAGAAGCACTCTGCATTTCAAAGAGAATCTGACATAATTTTACAGTCATTATATTATTAAGAATTACCTGAATTGTGATGATTAACAATTAAAAAATGCTAATTGTACATTATAACCTGTTAAGGGTCATAAGGATTGAGGCAGTCTAATAAAGAAACATAGCAATCACTAGTGGCTACCTCAGACCAGTATGCTCTTTGGCTGAATATCTTTGTAAAAATCTCAATTCAAAACTTTTTCAAGTCTGGTCTTTAAACTGCTTGTTTGTACTGTAGCGTCATCTTTTCTTTCAGACTAACAAAAGAAACCCTTCACATGTCATGAGGAAGTGTCCTGGTGTGTGTCAAGAACAACAGTATCTAGTTTTAGAGCCATTTCTTCACTATCTACATCTTCCGTTTCATCATAACTCTCAACTCCAGATACAATGCTCTCTTCATTTAGTTCTTTTCTTATTGTCTTTAAACACTTGTCAAGTTTCTTTATGAACAAGTCCACGTCCTTCGTCTTCATTCCAATGGCTGCTGCAGCATTGAGGTAAGCACAAGGGTACTTATTTGCATGAGACATAAAGCCTCTGAACGTGTGGCCACTCACAACTTGCACAGATCCAAGAGGCACGACCCTGAAAGGGAAAGTATTTATCAATTTAATGTGTCTGGTGATGGTAACAGAATGTCACCCCAAAACAAAAGATATCTGTGTTACTAAGATGTACATTCACTAAATTGAAACAGACCTGGGTACAGTGGCTCACTGCTGTAATACCAGCTACTGAGGAGCCAAGATAGGGACAACTGGGGTTTGAGGCCAGTAAGGGCAAAAAAATTAGTGATACACTGCCCTAGATCAACAAATAAACCAGGTGGGATAGTATACTCCTATAATCCCAGCTATAAGGGAAGAATAAATAAGAAGATCAGGATCCAGGCAGACCCAGGGAAATACGTGAGAGCCTATTTGAAAAATAACTAAAGAAAAAAGGCCAGGGAGCATGGCTCAAGTAGTACAGTACCTTCCTAGAAAGTGAGAGGCCCTGAATTCAAATCCTAGCATGGCCAAAAAAAAAGGTGAATAACAGGCGTAAATTGTGGCCTATACAGACTACGTCAGCCTTAAAATGAAACTGTACAATATACTGTTATTTCACATTTAAAAAGGCCTGTCTGGTGATGAACATTCACTTATATTCTATGGAAGATGAATAACCTCTAGGAATCTCAAACACCTTCCATTTTTTCAAAGAAATAAAGGAAACTGTCTTTGTGCTAAATGTAGAGTCTGACTTCACACATCAGTCAGACCACTCTGATTAAGTACATGTGTCACCAACAATGTCCAACAAGCCAAAATCCTAACTCTGCTGGAGCTGTGCAAAGGCAGGCCTATAAGCCAGTGTCCAGAAGAAGTCATGTGACTTCGGTCAGCACGTGGGGTGCTGTAGCAACCAGCAACGTTTAGCAATGGTACATGCTACTTTAGATGGCCTTCACTGGCATACTTGGATGCAAGTAGCTTCCTAATCTTTTACTTGTTTTTAAAGAAGTCATTAAGATCAACCCAAAAAAGATGCACAGCAGTAAGAATAAAAGCAAGGTCCAGAAAACCATGTTGGAAGTATTAAAACGATGATGTAAACAGTGCCTCCATAAACACAGGTATGCAGGTATCTCTATGGTAAGCTGGCTTTAAATGTTGTGGGAATATACCCAAGGGTGGGATGGCTGGGTCATATGGCAGTTCTATTTTTATTTTCTTAAGAAACCTCCACACTGATTTCCAAAGTGGCCTCCCTACTTTACAGTCCCACCAGCAGTAAATGTGAGTGCCCTCACCACATCCCTGCCAGCATTTGTTATTTGTTTGATAATAGCCATTCTGCCTAGGGGGGAAAAACAGACACAAAAACAGAGGGAGGACTACTAGGATGGTAGGAGGGAAAAATGGCAGGACACAAGAGAAGAATGTAAGAGGGAATAATGGAGGGTGAATGTGAACAAAATATACTGGGCACATGTATGGAAATGTCATGATGAAACCCCTTACTACTGAAGGGTTAATATTACCAACTCCCCCACCCCAAAAATACTGATGTTATATATAGGGTTCATCGGGGGAAAAGCTTTATTAACCTAAGGTTTTTTCTTTGAAAAAGTTGTCCTTTAACTGGGCATGATGGCATAGGCCCGTAATCCCAGCACTTGGGAGGCAGAGGCAAGAGGATCAGGGTCAGCATGAAGAGTCTGAAGTCGGCCGAAGCTACATAGGAAGATCCTAGCTCCAAAAAAAAAAAAAATGTTGTCCTTTGATGTAAAATTTCTACCATCTGTTAATCAGAGAGAAATTCTTTAATAGAGGTATGTAAAGTATTTAGAGCAAGATACTTCTTTTCAGGTCAGCTTTCTCTGATCTCATCAAATATATGAGACCCATGTCATGTATACATAAAAAGAAACTACACGTTTCTAAGGCAGTACTTAAGCAAGAACTGCACAGCCCTTTTAGTTTAGGGATAACACTACCTTAGCAACATATTCGCTTGAATTTAATACTAAAAAGGACAGTTCTAGTGCATGTCTGTGACATCACTGAAGAGCATTTAATAAAGGAAATAAAGACAAAAATCTGTACAGAGAGGTAATGAACCTTTGTTTTTCTCTGCTAAAACAAACAGGATTCCTGTATTTCTGTGACTACTTCAGTCACTGAAGTCCACAGGTGAGTGGATCATAGTCTTACAGATTCTCTACCTTGGCATCCTTTGGCTCCACAATGAAGTCTCAGGTAGACTTCAGTATGGACTTGGGGGACTATTGTTGAGGAAAGGCATTTTATTAGGGCTAACTTTGAAATTCAAATAAAGCCATGTCTCTTTTAAACATACTCACCTGGCTCCAGAAACCTGTCTAGTAAAAAGCATTGAGCCAAGACGAGTGACAGCCTTGTCATGATGCTCATCTAGTGCCTTAAGTGTCACAGCTGAAAAAGAAAAAAGTGTCCCAATAAGCTTTGGTTTACCAGCACAAAAGTCACTCAAAGACACACAATGATAGAGAAATTATTTTATTCATTGTGCTGTGGCACAATGTCACCATAATATATTTAATAAATTACAGGAATTTGTTTGCATACCAGACAAACATACTTTTATGAAAATTAACATGTTCAGAATTAGGAACAGAATTTCTGTTATCACCTAGAAATTTAATTTTTCCAGCTAAACAGATAAAACAATGACATGATCAGTACAGTTGTTTATTCAGATTCAACCGTTTTAAGAACTTGTAAGATGAGAATGTGAGATCCATTTCAGTGGATACATAAGACTGACTTCTGCATATGGAAATAGAAATTATCATTTGGAATCAGTGTGGGTGAAATGCAATCTATACACACCACACTACTACAGCTCCCATTCACTGAAGACTGACCTATTCTTTACAAACATAACCACAGCCCATCTTTTGGTTATTTTGCATGTGACGGATCATTCTTTGCATTTCAGACAGTGAGAAGGAGGTAGAGGACAAAATATGACACAAATGATGTTGTAACTACCCACACCACCTACGTGCCAGCAAGGACGTGTCAGTGCCCAAATGGCTTTCCTAGAAGCCCATTCCTGAAAAGCTTCAGTTAATGTCTCATTCTCTACTTTCCTCAGATATATGAGAAACATTAACAGATTATAATTCATACATTCACAAATTAAAAGGTGTAATTATGAAGCTTTTAAGATAGGTAAGTGTATAAAAGTCAATATTCACATTATCATTTTAATAGCCCCTAAACTACATGACAAAACCATATAATCCTTATACAAACAAATCAAATTATAATAAATACAGATTTATCTAACATATAAAGGCTAAAGAAAATAAGCAATAACATTAATCAATGTAAGCAGAACTTTAATTTCTGGTATGTGGTGATCTTCTTACCTCCACCTCCTGCATAGCTGGGATTATAGGAGTGAGCCACCAGGCCTAGCAGATATTTTGGTATTTTGTTTATTGGAAAGGCTTGTTTGTTTATTGCAGTGCTGGGGGGTCAAACCCAGGGTATGTCAGGCAAATGCTCTACCACTAACCTATACCCTCAGCATCCAGTTTTAACTATTTATATAGAGTTCTTACTAGTGATCCAGGCATTTTGGTTAAAAGTATAATTATTATTTCCTATACATTATATTTAATATTGATTCTGATTCTGATTCTTTCAGTAGATAGGTTTTATCTTAGGAAAGTATTAAAGCATTTATTTTAAGACTAAACTTTTTTAATTTACAAATTAATACTGGAATGAATTTAGAAGTATCATAATAAAAAATTCTTTTTCTATAAATACCAACTTCCTCCTAGGCATGGATCAGAAGTATTGACTTTCTTTTATTAAAGCAAATTACCTAACGATATGGGATTGTGAGGTGTCTGCAATAGTCTTTCATTGTAGGCTTCTGATACCTTCTTTAGTTGGATGGACAAATATGAAAACATTTCCTGCAATAACAAAATGTTACATTTAAAACAATCAAATACTTAGTGTAACTCTTCAAATTTAAGAATACAAAATCTGATTGGTTTGAAGTCTGCTATAAATGACCTTCTCCACATGCCTTCCTTTGCCATAATAGAATGCAGGGGCTCTCTCTTCTTCACACTATTTCCCTAACACCAGGAATAATGTACTGGATTTGTATGCAAGTTACAGAGTAAATGATAGTTTAAAAATACATTTGTGTGTACAAGGCATCAAACCCAGGGCCTTATACATGCTAGGCAAGTATTCTACCACTGAGTCATGTTCTGAGCCCCAAATAAAATTTCTTGTAAGTCATACAAAGTTTAAATGAATAATTCTCTTAGTGTAGGATTGGGGGTGTGGCTGAGCTGGTGATGCCCTGAATTCGATCCTCATTGCACCCTCCAGCAATTCCCTTAATTCAAAGAATACAGCAACTAAAGCTAAAAAACTGTCCTATTCTGAAAAATAGCCCACAGTCAGGAGCAGAAAATAATGTTTTATTAGTATAAAATGTCCTATGTATACACACACACACACACACACACACACACACACACACGTATATATGTGAAGTGGTAGTTCAAGAAAATTACAAATAAAGTTAGTAACTATTTAAAATTTTACTTTCTTCTCTTTGTAAGGCCTTTGAAAAGGTGTCAAACACGCCAACCTGCCCAAGCACAGCTGAATGAACCCATTGCACTGAACTCCTCCAACCATACTTAAACATAAAGACTCTAACAGAGTACCCAAGTGGAGACTGCAGGAAATAACAGTTCTTCAACTTCAAAAGCCACAAAAACTGCTTCAGCTTTCTCCCTAAGGTAGGGTAGACATTCCGACCCCACAACAGGTCTCGGAGAAGTTTTTCACGTCTGAAGCACATACATGACCTGCTCCATCTTTTCATAGGTTAACGATTAAAAGAAAAAGGACAATTCCTTCCAGGCTTACAAATTACTAGTCTATTAGTGACCACAAACATTTTACTCTTGTCAATACAGTGAATATTCTCACCTGAAAATTTTAAACCAATAATCATTCTTAAATTTTAGAATGTTTTATAAGATCAATTCTCAGCCTGTCAGAATTATGAAATGCTATCAATAGATCACTAAAATAAATTGGCTCTTTCTATATTCAAAAAGTTAAGATCCACAATTACAAAAACTAGAAAGGTATCAGTAACTATCACTTAGACATAGGATAAGACTTTCTCTTGTCATTAAAAGAAGTGAGGGGAGGTGCAAAGTGGCCCAAATAATGTATACACATTTAAATAAATGTAAAAATGATAAAATAAAATGAAAAACAAATTATACTAAATGAAAAAAATCAGTCACAAAAGTAAAAAAAAAAAAAAGTGTAGCGAAACATTTAGGCAGCAATGTCATCACTTTCAGATATAGAAAAAAGAGATGTCATAGGCACCTTTTCTTAGACACATAAAGATTTCCTGGCTCCTTAAACCAATACTCCAATACTCTTTCAGAGAAATGCAAAAAAAATAACAAATAGAATAAAAAACCCAACAATTTCTATAGCAATTAAAACAAATCATCACCTTTTAGTATTCCATCATTGTTAAAAGGGCAGAACTCATGAGTTTCATCACATGTTTTCAATTACTATAAAGTACCTAGGTCACTAATTTAAATGCTGTTTTGCTTTTTTAAGGGCAGTCACATACTTTCATTTAGCTATTAAATGTTTTTCTTCATAGCCATCATCAGCAACACCAACAACAACAGGTGTTGGCGAGGATGCGGGGAAAAAGGAACCCTCTTACACTGTTGGTGGGAATGTAGACTAGTACAACCACTCTGGAAAAAAATTTGGAGGCTACTTAAAAAGCTGGACATCGATCTACCATTTGATCCAGCAATACCACTCTTGGGGATATACCCAAAAGACTGTTACTCCAGAGGCACCTGCACATCCATGTTTACTGCGGCACTATTCACAATAGCCAAGTTATGGAAACAGCCAAGATGCCCCAGCACTGATGAATGGATTAAGAAAATGTGGTATCTATACACAATGGAATTCTATGCAGCCATGAAGAAGAACGAAATGTTATCATTCGCTGGTAAATGGATGGAATTGGAGAACATCAATCTGAGTGAGGTTAGCCTGGCTCAAAAAACCAAAAATCGTATGTTCTCCCTCATATGTGGACATTAGATCAAGGGCAAACACATCAAGGGGATTGGACTATGAGCACATGATAAAAGCGAGAGCACACAAGGAAGGGGTGAGGATAGGTAAGACACCTAAAAAATTAGCTAGCATTTGTTGCCCTTAATGCAGAGAAACTAAAGCAGATACCTTAAAGCAACTGAGGCCAATAGGAAAAGGGGAACAGGTACTAGAGAAAAGGTTAGATCAAAAAGAATTAACCTAGAAGGTAACACCCACGCACAGGAAATCAATGTGAGTCAATGCCCTGTATAGCTATCCTTATCTCAACCAGCAAAAACCCTTGTTCCTTCCTATTATTGCTTATACTCTCTCTACAACAAAATTAGAAATAAGGGCAAAATAGTTTCTGCTGGGTATTGAGGGGGGGGGAGAGGGAGGGGGCGGAGTGGGTGGTAAGGGAGGGGGTGGGGGCAGGGGGGAGAAATGAATAATAAAAAATTAAAAAAATGAAAAAAAAATAAAATAAAATGTTTTTCTTCACTTACATTATTCACTAAAGTCTTAAGCTACATCTATCTACTTCTCCCTTACTCTCAAGTTTATCAGCCTCTCATTAGCAGAATATAATCTGCAGGCAGGAAATGCCCTTTATGGACCTCTGCATTTTCCTCCTAGCAACAAAACAACCACCACCCTTCCTTTGTCCTTAACCACTGATAATGAAGCAAAGTTTTCTCCAGTTCATAATATTTCAGGGGTGAACACCAATTTGTTTCTAGAACAGCTGCCATGTTAAACAGCAATGTGGTCACCTTTGTGGATTAAAAGAAACCTGATGAATACTTACCTTATACTTACCTGAGTGAGCTGTTTCTGAAGAAAAGGGAAAATGTTTCCTTAGCAACACCCCTAGAGAGTGGTTTTAAACTTACTATGCTTGCATGGCTATTAGAAAACTGAATTTGCCTATGTTCAATTCCTAATACTTCAATAAATGGTTTTAACCAGTCCTATCAAGTCACTTGCCAGTGCCGCCAGAATTCAGAGTGGTTTTTTGTTTTGTATTCTTGAGACATTATCTAATGATGTAGTCCAGGCTGGCCTCAAACTCTTGATCCTCCGTAACCTTCTAACGGTGGGATTATCAGGCCTGAGCCACCATGCCCACCCAGAATTCAGTTTTAATTGTGGCTATCAGGATAGAAATCTTTATAGACTATAAACAGTAAAGTACTAAATCTTGCATATCACTAGTATATGGTAATTAGATAAGAGAAAAATACCTTTAAATCAAGTTCACATTCAACAGCAAATATGTATATTATCTTTACTCTGTGTAAAGCATTATGATAGGTAATCCAATAAGCAATGAAGTTTTAACTCAAAGTACAATGCACTGAATTCCACAATATTCCACATGAATGTCCTAAGTGCTCTCCTACTGATATCACCACATTTTAAAAATATCTTTTTGGACTGTACTACCACTCTACACTAATACTTAGCTAAGCAGTTTTTTTTTTTTACCTGATATATTAAAGGCACTATAGAACCTGCACTATTTTTTGCTACAGTTAAATCTATAACTGACATTTATTATAAAATACTTCTGTGAAGGAAGAAATTTATAAGCAACCCAAGCAAATGTATATAGAAAGATCTTACTGAAAAGAGATGAAATATTATTGATTTTCTATGTCTTTTGTGCTGTATTTAATTTTAAAAGACTTTCACTAGAGATAAACTGAACTATATACCTGAATGCTAATGTCAGCTATATTTCTAGGCTAGAAAAATACAAAACTTTGCACCATAGTTCAAGATGTTAATGGAAAGGAAGTTGAATTATATTAAGCACTATCTTTCATATGGCCTTTTGCAAGTTGATTTGCAGGCATAAAAGTCAACATCTAGACTATCCCTCCTCAGAATCTAAAAATGTACATAATTCACTAAATTTTAAAGGAAAAGGCCTTACATAATCATGCCTTTTGAAACACGCTGTTTCATATTATAGGATAAGATGAAAATGGTACTCCACATATTATTATAATGTCTCACAAGGTAGGCAATAAACCAGGAAGGAAACATAACAAGTAGTCTAACATTTCAATAACATGAATGGACGGATGGACAACACTAAAGGTACATATTCACACACACAGGTGCCCATGTTTGAGAAAAACAGTATTAAATGCAATATACTGCTGTCTACCCCTGTAGCCAGTGCCAAGGATCCCAAGGATCCATGCATACTCAGCAGGCCTTCCCTCAAGCTGTTGAGGCCCCGTGTCCAGGCCTGAAATCTAACACTTTCAGAATTCAGTGTTAGGACTACAAATCTACCAATGTTTCCAAACTTAGTTCTGTAATAGGAGGACACTGAAGTTATGAAACTGGTGTTCTTTCATCTCACAAATCCTAGTCACTACAGCAGCCATTCAGCCGTCATTCGTCTTCTGTACTTGTCCAATTCAGCAGATATTTGCAACAATAAATGATTACCCACCATCCTGTTGAGCAAAACAGTCTTGTAAAAGGAAAGCTGAGCAGAATAATGGTCATGTCTGGAAGCAAAGCAGAAATGAGGATAAACTTCTAAGACTGATCTTTCTTTCTGCATAGACAAACTCAAAGAAACAGACTCCTATATTTTAACCCCTTTTCTGAAAGGCCTCTTCCATTAAACTCCTGATCATTTCTCCCCTCTATGAAGCAGATGGGCTGATCGGGAAAGGGCTAAGGGCAGAGGCTCAATTCACACACACCAAGTTCCACTTTCTCTGATCCTTTCACTCTTCAAAAAGGAAGGTCTGAGAAGGAATGGCTTCAA